AGATCCAGTGAGGTCCTCGGAGGAGGCTGAGGAGAGGTGGGCCTTTGGCTGGTGTGGCTGCAGATCACTGTACCTGGGGGTGCCAAGCGGCTTTGGCGAGATTCACAGGCACAGGCGGGGCCAGGACTGCTTAGCTAGAAAGAAGGTCTGTATTGGGGACCTGGATGAGCTTGGCATGGCTCCTGTGGTGTCCAGAGACAGGGAGAGATTTGTTTCCTGAGGCTCCTGTGTGGTTCTTCGAAGGAAGGAGGCAGATGCCTAAAGATACCCCAAATGGATGTCGATTCTAGTCCAGTGGGAACAGAGGCCTTGTCTTGGCTAACCTTACTACCCTCTAGATTACTGGGGCCTTTGAAAAAATAAACAAAGAAACAGTGAGCTGGACACACCCCCAGTTGATTGTGGGTATCACTGGGCAGGGCTGAGAACCGGCTGACTTCCCTGGCGAGAGCTTTGGGGTGCTGGTCATTGAATGTCCGATCTGAGTCCCCCCCCATCACATACACACATACACAAACACACACCCTGGTGCCGTCTAAGACTAGAGTAGGCAGGAAAATGGAGATAGCTGAGACTCCCACACAGGCTCCCAACATCGGTTTGAAGTCTGGGGCCTTCCACAAGTTAAAAGTCAAATGGGCAGCTGGCAAGAGACTCACCATCCCAGATTCTGCTCCCCATCATACTGAGGGCATCATGGTCCCGTTGAATCAAAGGTCACAACTACACAGGAAGTTTAAGGCCAGCCTAGGATACATGAGAGAGACCCTGTTTCAAAAATCAGAGAAACCCAACTGTCCTGAGCCAGTGAGTGGAATATGAGCTGTGTAGACTCGGGGTGCTGGGCAGAGCCTATAGGGCACAGCCGCCTCTGGGGGACCGCTCACTGGCTGTGCCAGCTGCCCCTTTGCAGGTGAGGTACTAGCTTTCCCTGCCTCTCCCCACTCCCAAGCAGCAGGAAGGATCTAGAACCAGAGTGCATTGGGCCTCCAACACCCCCCAGGTGGAGGGGCCTCCGGGTCAGCACTTTTCTTTCCTCCACCTGACTTCAGCTGGAGCCCCTGGGCAGCTAGCAAATCTTCATCTCCGTTTCCCAGTGTCGACGGACTCGGGCTAATGGCAAAGGCTTGCTCGAGGAGAAAAGCAGAAAAGCATTTGGATTCATTGCTTGGAGAGTTTGTTCCGTCTCCTGGGCCTGCTTCGAGCTGTTTTCTCTAAGTTTCGAGGCATTGTGTTTAAAAGAGGAGAACTTCCGATGGCAGTGTTTTGTCTCACGTTTAAGCGGGGCTCTACAGTTTACAAAGGCGTTGGCATAGTAACAATAACAACTGTCACTGCTGCGAACGGCATTCCTGCAAGGGTCTACTCAGTAATCCCAGTGTCTCCACCAACCGAGCAGCTTTGCTCAGAGAGGTTAAGGGGTTTGCCCAGGGCCACACGGGCCAGGGCAGGGGCCACCTGGCTTCAGAGACTTGGTTGGCCCTCTGACGCCTTCCTCTCTCAGCTTACCCTGACCTATCTCAGCCATCTGCAGATAAACTGCAAGCAAGAAAAGCCAAAATGGGACAAAACCCAGGGGTGTCCTTGGCAAACAGCCAAAGGAGAAAACAGTATAAAAATACCACCTGTGTACCGGGGGATGCCTGAGATCCCAAACAGAACATTTTGTGCTCAGATCACTTTTGCGACGGAGCCGAGGCTGAGGGCCGGGCAGGGTCTGAGGAGGACATTCGCCATCCAAGTTCTAATTCCATGCTGGCTAAACGGCAGCTTGGAATCACATGTGGCTGTTTAAACGCAATGAAGAAAATTAAACCTGTACTTCGGTTGCACCTGCCAGAACTTCAGCCTTTCATCTCCGAGGCACGTGGCTGATCCTGGGCCACAGAACCTCAGGAAATCCCTCTGGCCGGCTCTGCTCAGGCACCAGCGCCCGCTCCTGTCTCCTCGCCCTTCTGTCCGTTCAGAGGTGACGACATCGTGGGTCACTTCTGTTTTGATGTAGGTCCTGAGTACAGCTCAGGCACCTATAGATGTCACCCCAATAATGGTCCCTGAACTCCATCCTAGTGCCACTGAAGCTTCAGGGGTGCAAAGGGAAGCCAGCCAATCAAGGGGTGGCCCCAGAGCAGGCCTGGCTGCTTGGGGTCCTGGTCTAGTCATATCTGCAGGAGATCAGGACATGCACTATCCTGCTCTTGTGTGTGTGTGTGTGTGTGTGTGTGTGTGTGTGTGTGTGTGTATGCACACACACAGAGACCAGAGGTCAACATAAGGCATCTCCCTGAGTTGTGCTCAACGTTACCCTTTGAGAAAGGCTCTTAACATGGGTTCTGGGGATCTGAACTTAGGTACTCACGCTTGGGAGGCAGGCACTCTATCCCCTGAGCTAGCTCCCCACCTTGCTCTTTAATGAGGTCCCCAGGTGCGTCACGGGAACATTTAGCTCAAGAAGGTCTGATTTAGGAGCCAGGCTGAGCAGGTGTAAACATTTTTCAAACCTAGGAAGCCAAGCATGCTTCTAGCTGAGCAACCCGAGTGTTCCGCCAGCAGACACCTGTGAAGCAGGCAGGTACTCCCACAGGCCCACTCAGCCCTGTGCTGTGTGACCCCACAGACAGGTGCAGGGACAGCTGCAGCCCCATGTCACAGCGACTGCCACCTCCCAAAGCAAAAGCACGAGGAAGCCCATTTCTTTGTGGATGCTGTGGACGGAACCCAGGGCCTGGCACAGCTTGGACAGTGTTCTGCCATTGCTCTGTGCCCATAGTGTGAGACTCAGCCTTAGGGTGTTCCCCGAAGATCTCTATTTGCTTTGTGTGTGTGTGTGTGTGTGTGTGTGTGTGTGTATGTATACCACATGTGGTGTCAAAGGTTAACGGTGAATATTTTTCTCTATTACTCAACCATCAAAAAAAAAAAAAAAGAAAAGAAAAAAAGATTTATTTTTCTGTGTGTCTCTGTGTGTGTAGGTGCCCAGGGAGTCCAGAGGAGGCCACTGGATTAGGTGGAGTGAGAGTTACAGGCAGGTGTGGAGTGCCAGCACAGGTTCTGGTAAGCAAACCTGGGTCCTGTGAAAGAGCAGTCCATGCTCTTAACCCCCATCACTTCTCCAGCCTCCACTCCACTGCAGTTTTGAGGCAGGGTCTCTCCCTGAACGTCACTAGTTTGGTTAGACTCGCTGGCCAGGGAGCTCTGCCGGAGCTGTCTGACATGGGTGCTAGGGGTCAAAGTAGGACTAGGGAGCCCTCAGTCCGCCTCCCCACCTCTGGGATTACAGACAGGTGCAACCCAGTGTGGCCCTCACGTGGGTCCTTGGATCTGAACTCAGGTCCTCATGCTTGTATGGCAAGTGCTTCACCAACTCGACCATCTCTCCAGCCACCGGTTTTACCTCCCCGATGCCCAGCGTGGCTGGCTCTCTGACCACATGCACACAGTTTGACGGAGGTGCCCAGCCAGACTGTGCCCTTTGCTTACCATGATGCCCCAGGGCTCAGGACCTGAGCAGGGGGTGAGAGGCTGGCATAGAGCTGTTGATGAGCTGCAGGAGGTGCAGGCTGCTGCAGGGGGTGCAGGCTGCTATAGGAGGTGCAGGCTGCTCAGGAGGTGCAGGCTGCTGCAGGGGGTGCAGGCTGCTATAGGAGGTGCAGGCTGCTGCAGGAGGTGCAGGCTGCTCAGGGGGTGCAGGTTGCTGTAGGAGGTGCAGGCTGCTCAGGGGGTGCAGGCTGCTGCAGGAGGTACAGGCTGCTGCAGGGGGTGCAGGCTGCTGCAGGGAGTGCAGGCTGCTGTAGGGAAGGGTAGTCTGGGGCTTGCTGCAGGCCCTCTCCTGCCTCTTGGGTCTGAGTCATCCCCAGCGCCTGTCTCTTTTTAGCTGCCTGGGGCTTTCCTTCTGTTTTATCCCTGGTACGATGGTCTATGCTGACAGGGTGGTGGCTCACTGCCTGCAAGAGCACTCACTCCTGGAGGAAGGAGGCTAAAGCAGCTAGTTTTACACGCTGCTCCCAGCAGAAAGGCAAAGGACAAGCCTGTGACATGGACCCAGCGGCGAGCTTGGGGGCTTTGGAGGGAGAGACATTCTAGTTGACATAGCTCAGGGATGATTGGGCAGGTGGGAGGAGGAGAGGCCAGGGGACTCTTCACAGCTCTCTACCTTTCTGGAAAAAGGCAGGCAAATGGAAACACCTGCTCTCCTTACCATTCTGTTCAAGGCCCCTTACGTAGGTAGTGACCTCATTTACGTCCTCCACGAACACCTGATGCTCAGGCCTTGGTGGATGTGCCAATCACCTTGACTATGGGCCAGCTGGCACTCAGGCCAAGCTCAGTGGGATGAAGACAGAGAAGGACCTGGGTGCTTTGGGCTCAGCCATCCTGTTGAGGACCCGGAAGGCCACCCCTGGTCATGAAAGACTCCGGCCATCAACTCCTCTTTCTTGTCTTCTTAAATAATTTGTGTGTATGTGTGTGAGAGTCTACCATACGTGTGTGGGTGCCTGTGGAAGCCAGAAGGCGGTGATAGATCTGCCGGAGCTGTCTGACATGGGTGCTAGGGGTCAAAGTCGAGTCCTCTGGAAGCGCAGTAAGTGTCCCTAACCACTGAGCCATCTCTCCAGACCGCTTGTCCTTCTTGAGATCTAGCCGTTCCCTCGTTCCCAAGATTCTGGGAGCGTCCGTCCCACTGGCAATTCATACATGCTCTCATTGCTGTTTAAGAGCCCCCAGAGACACGGACCCATGCTCTCGTTGCTGTTTAACTAAGAGCCCCCAGAGACATGGACCCATGCTCTCGCTGTTTAACTAAGAGCCCCCAGAGACACGGACCCATGCTCTCATTGCTGTTTAACTAAGAGCCCCCAGAGACACGGACCCATGCTCTCGTTGCTGTTTAACTAAGAGGCCCCAGAGACACAGACCCAGATGCCCAGCATCAGGGCGTCGGATGCACAGCGTGAGACGGCACGCAGTGGAAAACCACACAGCTAGGATGAGTGCTGAAATACGTGTATATTTGTGGACATGGAAAGAGGTTCACAATATATAGTTAAGTGCAAAAGCAGGTTATAAGAAAACAGTATGCATCAGGCTGATACCATGTTTGTAAAAATATATATTCTATATATTCATAGGAAAGGGTCTAGAAGAAAATACAAGTTATTCATTCTGGAGAGTGGGATGATGATCATGTTCTCCTCCTAATTATCTTGTTTTTTTTTTTTTTTTAAATTCTCCTACAGTGTTTGTGCAGGGAGTTTGTGTGGTGAGTTTCCCTTTTCTTTTGACGTGTGTGCTGTGGGCTGCAGGAGACCCCGTTCTGCGACCCCTGACTAAAGTGTGACTGATGCTCTGAGGGCCAGGGGCTCCTGCTCCGGGGACTGCACATGCACAGCCCTGCTCAGGAAGAGCTGCAGTGTCTGAGCCTGCAGAACAAGGAAGCCGTAGATCCTGGGCCACAGGGTACCAGGAGCATCTCATCGGTTGAATCTGTGCTGGTGAATAAGAGAGGTGAGGTGACTTGCCTGGGCACACATGGTGGAAGAGGGGGTCACCAGATTCAGAGCTCCAATACCTCGATGGCTAGCTGACAGGCACAGCCCAATGAAAGGGCTGGGAAAGACTCAACATTCCCGAGCACCTCAGCTGTGGCCAGGCTGCAAGGGGACCGGCTTGGAAAGGAAACCCTGGCACCTCAGTGTAGTGACGTGGACTCCTTGCCATGCAGATGGCCTCTGGGTTCACAGGGCAGCGGAGGTTGGCATAGGGAGGGTGGGAAGGGGGTCTGGATTGGCAGACCTCACCCCACTATGTCCTTTCCTATAACTTTCTACTTATCTTGGCTTAAAAGTCGCCTTATTGTCCTTAACCCCTGAGCCAGGTCCTGGCTATTGTTGGCTCAACCTCATGTCTTGTTGGTACTTCCAATGATTTGAAGTTATTCCATTGACCTAGGGGCACAGTCTGATCTGAGTCCCTGACCGTAGGACACTGACTGTCTCACTGCCAGCCTTGCCCTCGGTCTGAAGTGCAGCACCTGGTCACGACAATTGCTCCCCAAGCATCACTGAATGGCAGCAGATAAACAAAGGGCTGGGGTGATCCCAGGAGATCCCAGAGGAAGATGCACTTCTGCCTTTTTCCTGGCTGTGTGACCTCAGGCAGACAGCATCACTTCTCTGGGCTTCTTCCAATCCTCCATCTGAACGTGTATACCCAACTCTATCCAAAGGGCGGGCCTCACACTTCCTGGATCTACTAGGGCCAAATGAAGGGAGGTTACAGAGGCAGGAATGGTTGGCTAAATCCCACCTCAGTTTCTGATGACGTTGTTTGAACGCTTTTCCCAGGAGCCACTGGTGGGCAATGAGTCCAATCTTATCTCTTATTCAATAAACTCCTTTATTCTACTTCACATATTTTTCCATGACAGTAATGAAAATAGCATTAGTGATTGGTAACATTTGGGACCAACTCAAAGGGGAGCACCTCCTCAACTGATAAAGCAGGAGACACGTGGTAGAACAGGTCGGTGCTGGGGTGAGAGGCGTTGAAAACAGACGGGTCAAGAGCGTGAGCGAGTGTGCGACACTCAAGGTCTCCTCGAGTTAGGGGACGCCGTTTCAGAAGGTGCATGATTACGATTCTGAAAACTGTATTTGTAATCGTCATAAAACTCAAGTGGGAAAAAAAAATGCAAAATCAAGCAAAACCAATTCCCTAAACCAAAAGGGAAGCAAATCAAATCCATGGTGTAGCTATGCAAACCTCCAGTCCTTTGGCCCTGTGACAGCAAGTGGGGGGGGGTGCAGAAATCCCCCCATAGAAAGGAACGTATGGGTTCCGGGGACCACAGCCTGGGCCCGATGCTGGTGCAGCCACCAGCTCCTGTCTCCTCACAGAGGAAAAGTAGTCGCCTGTCCGACACATCCGTCCAGGGTTGGCCCACGGTGGGCCTTCCGTCCCCAGTGCCTCTGAGAACGGTCCCGGATCCCAAGAGAGTAGAGGCATCCCTGAGATACGGGCGTGGAGACAGTGGGTTAGTGGCGGTGCCCGGCCATGGTGGAACTGTCCCAGTGACTGATGGGCAGCGGGTGGGCCTCGGTGTTGAACACCCAGTCCTCTGGCGATAGCACGTTATCTTCAGAGAACAGAAGATAGAGGTATCTGTGTGGTGGGGCGGGAGTGAGAGAGTGGTTAGTGCCCAGGGGGAGGAGCGCCACGGGAGGGGACACCCACACCTGCCGGGGTTGGCCCTGGGAAAGCACAGGGATTCGGAGCTCTGGGGTCAGAGGACCTGATAATCCTGGCCCACATCCTTGCTTCATTCGCCTGACTGCCCTGTTGTGAGCCCTGCAGACTTGGGCATCAGGCGACACAGGGTCTGCACCTGCCCAAACTCTGGTCCAGTTCCCAAGAAACAGTTAAATTCCTACAGCAGTGATACAGCCAGGTTTTAGGGACCCCAGACTCTGGTGGGGGTGCTTACTGGAAGGGACCATGAGTGTAAGAAGCGTAGAGGGGTAAGCAGGACAGTAGACTATACCCGGAAGCAGGCAGAGACTGCCATGCACTCCCCGCTGGGCTGCAGAGGTCACAGGGGGACACCCCCAATGGTACTCAGTATCAATGTCACATGGAAGGTGGCTGAGTGGCAAAGGACCAGGTGAAGGGGTTTGCAAAATCACCTCTGTGGTCAGTACTGGGGCCTGGCCGGAGCTTGGCCTGCTGGGTAGCCCTAAGCCTCCAGCCCACATGGGCTCCCTCCCTGTGACTCCTGGGCCGCTGGCCTGATCCAGGAACAGCTGCACTCACTTTAGCGTCTCAGCCAAGAAGAAACTTTGCTGCCTGTTGTCGTGGTTGGGGTTGCTACTGTACACATCCTGGATCCCCGAGAAGCCAGCTTCCGTCCGGCAGTGTTTCTCCAGGGCCTGGAGGAAGGGAGCAGCCTTGGTGTGAGGAGGAGATGCCCGGTGGCCAGAGCTCAACAACACACAGATGCCAACCCTTGGCTGGCCACCGGGGAGTCCAGGCCAGGTCCTTCTCCCAAGTTCAGCCTGCCCACACTGCCCTCGCCCACTCTGGGAACTCGGCCTCTATGCTTCCCCGGAGGTACTGAGCAATTCGCTGTCTGAATCTAGCCCAGGCTTCTCCACCTTCCAGGGGCCCAGGTGACCAGGTAACTGATACTTTCACCACAGAGGTGAAAGGTCAAGGACTCTTGCTGGCAATCTGCAGGGGCCACTGGGATTGAGAGCAGACTCAGGAGACTGGAGGGAGGCCTCTACATCAGGGGGGATGTGGGCTTCCTGTTCCACACAGAAACAGTTTTGTACATTGTAGGGTCTGTGGGCCAGGCATCCTGCTGGGGATGACAGGCCACTTGCGGTGGCTACCGTCACAAAGGGCAACATGGAAATCTGACTGCAAGAGCACATTACAGTCTACTTAGAAACTACGTGGTGTGGGGCCTTCCCCTTTCTTGAATCCTCCAACAGGGAAACCCCCACATCTGTGGGGCTAAACTCTCTTCAGAACCCTGGCACTCCTACAACTAATGAATCTTTGTTACAGCTTGCCTCAGTGACCTCTTGATCCCAACCTTATATATGGTGCTGTGTTTCAGAGAGAGGGAGGCACTGCTGAAGCACATTGCCTTTTGGGGTGCCCTCAGACAGAGCCATTGCTGAGAAGCCTTTTGGGGGCTCTTCTGCTCTTCTTCACATCTGCTCTAGTAATGCACATGAGCACAAAACATTTGGCCCCTCTGGGGGCCTGGAGAGATGGCTCAGTGGTTAAGAGCACTGCCTGCTCTTCCAAAGGTCCTGAGTTCAATTCCCAACAACCACGTGGCGGCTCACAACCATCTGTAATGAGGTCTGGTGCCCTCTTCTGGCATGCAGGTGTACATGTAGACAGAACATGAACATAAATCAAACAAAAACCTTTGAAGGTCAAGATCCAGGGCTTCAAAGCCCAAAGTCAATGCTTTCTCTCTAAGAGTTGCCTTGGTCATGGTGTCCCTTCACAGCAACAGGACAGTGACTAAGACACTCTGGGAGGGCCAGGATTCTACCTAGTGCTTGGGATGGAGGGAAGACCATGGGGCAGGGTGAGCTGCTGGCTGGCAGCTGGTCCTGTTTGAAAGGATGCATCTCAAACAACTCATGCAGGCTCCAGGGCCAGAGCATAAACTAGATGGTACTAGCTATGGCCACCAGCCATGTCCCCAAGGTCACAGACACTTGGACTCTCTTAGTAATTTCAGCCTCACCTCAGGGAGGTTTTGCCAGAGCTGCACTCTTGGCTCTGCAGCCTCCTGAACAATCCTATCCCTTGGCCAGAGGACGGCCTGGTTGCCGAGCCAGAGGCCTTAAGCCCCCGCGACTGTGGCTTCCCAGGGACACCTGCCACCCCCACACTCACCATCACCACCTCCCAGCCCCACTCCCTGTAGATGGGGTCATGTGTCTGCCGCCACAGGTACATGTAGCTCTCCACCACTTCAGGTCGCAGGATGTAGTAGCTCTCACTTAGCTGTGTGGCCACCGCCTCTCGACCGGAGTTGAACCAGAAGGCCTCAGGCCCCAGCTTGGTGTCTGTGGGAACAGATCCACAAAAACTGTCAGAACCCCGCTTCTTGCTTCTGTGGCCGCTGTCTAGGATAAACCTGGATGCCTCTTGGAGCTGCGCCAAACTGTGCAGAGCCTCCACAGCAAATTCCCTGAAGCTTGAAGAATTTAGCAGTTTAGCTGGGTGTGGTGGTGCACACCTATAATCCCAGCACTCAGAAGGAAGAAGCAAGCAGATCTCTCTGATTTTGAGGCTAGCCTGGGCTACATAATGAGTTATAGGCAAACTAGGGCTACATTTTAGAATCTGACTCAATCCTCTCAAACCAACAAAAAAAGGACTTATCAGATCTTTATTGTCCACCAATCCTTCTGCCAGCTCCCTGCCTTCCACACAGCTACCACCACCCAAGAGAACACTGAGCAGGAGCTCCCAGAGCATCAGGATTGGTGGGCTGGTTATGGTCTAGACATATCTCGGGGGGGGGGTATCTTAACTGAGAAACTGTGTCTCTGTGGTTGGCCTGGAGGCAAGTCTGTGGAGTACTGTATTGATGATTGATGTGGGGGGGCCCAGCCCAAGGTGGGGGCTGTGTCACCCCTGGAGAGGAGGTCCTGGGGCAGATAAGCAAGCTGAGCAAGCCTTGGAAAGAAGCCAGTAGGTGATGCTTCTCCACAGACTGTGCTTCAGTTCCTGCCTCCAGGGTCCTGCCCTGACTCCCCTCAGTGATGGGGCGTGACCTGAGAGACGTAGGATGAAATGGATTCCTCCTCAGGTCGTTCCTGCTCATGGTATTTTATCACAGCCGTGGAAACCCTAACCATGACAGGAGCCCGGGAAAGCCCCTGCCCAAGCATTGGGCGCTTGCCTTGATGGGGCCCAGGTTTTGTTCGGCAGGAGTCTACTGCCAGTTGGTTTTCTGCAGGACCCAATGTGTACAGAACAGCACAGCCACCCCTGTGGTCTCAAGGGCTCCGCCGGGCGCTTTACACCATCCCAATCCTCCATTTTCCTTTCCCCTTTGCTAAGGGCAAGTCTTCTCTAACAGATATTGAAACAGGATCAGAGAGGCTAAGCATTTTAGTAAAGGCCACACAGCGAGGCGTGGCTGAGTTGGGCTCTACGTGTTCTCCCCATTCTGCCTGGCCTTGGCACCCACAAGGCGCCAGGGTGTGGGATTTCCTCTAGAGCCTGTTGGCACTTTGGAGGCTTATCTTCTCAAAAGAAGAGTCAGCTGGGACCCCACGCAGTCTTAGGTGGCCCCGAGGCTCTGCCACTGGGAAACAGTGCTTTTGCCAAGTTCCTAATGGGGTGAGGGAGGAGGAGGCCAGCCGGCTGTGGGTGAGCCAGGCTGGCTGGGACAAGCTGCTCAATTAAGCTCCTGTCTTTTACAGCCCTGGATGATTGTCCAGACAAACAGCTCTTTATTATTCCTGAGATTTCCCATTTGTTTATGGCCCCGGCCCAGCCAGTGCCGTGGAAAGAATGGGATACCCAATTTCAGGCCTAGCACGAATATGACTTCCTAGGTCCCACTTGGAACCAGCTCCAGCCCCAGACACGTCAAAGCCTCGTTCTGTAGGGCGGCTTGGACGCTGGCTCGTGGAATTTGACATGGCTGAGGCAGCTGCATGCTGTTCTCCCATTGGACAGAGGGGAAAACGGAGACTCAGTGCAGCATGAAGCCTCCCATCCACCCAAGGTCAGGACTGTGGCTCAGAGAGGCAGCTCTATTGCCTAAGAGAGGCTGGGCAGTACGCTTTCAGAGGGGGACAATGTGGGGGGGGGTGTCTGGCTGTCAGGGCCTGGTTCTCAGCCAGGGGACTTTCCCTAACTAAGTCAGCTCCCCTTCTCTGGGCTGACTGTTTCACCAAGTATAAAATGAGGCTTGGGGCTCACACCCCTAGACTGACCATTTGCTAGGTGTGTGTAAATGGCAACTTGGTGGTGGTCTTGAATCAAAGAGTGGCTAGACACGGGGTGAAAGCCACATGGGTGCAGAGGACAGGTAGAGGGACCCGTGTAGGCAGGGGATTTTCAGGGTTAGTTGTCAATCTGCCATGGGTGTTGGAGGGGGGCTGGGGACTGAGGGTCCGAGGGCAGGGCTCAGTAGTGACACCTATCAGTGCTGGACACAGTCAGTGCCAGGACTGCCTCTCACTCAGATTCTGGTAACTTCCCAGGGCAAGATGATACTAAGAGCTCCCCCTGCCCCCCACTGCTCTGCTGCTCTGGCCAGTGCTTCCTGGTATCTAACCTGAGTATCAGCTGCTGCTTTAACCCCCTGCAGGGTTACCTGAGCGGGCATAGGACTCGTGGCATGTTCTGGTGATCTGGGCTGCGAGGTCCCGGTAGTATGCCTTCTTGTCTTCCCTAGAGTCCTCAGCACCAAGGGCGATCATGCCCCCCGAGAAGCAGGCCAGGTGTCCCATCTTGTGATCCAGAACTCCCCCTCGCCACTCGGCAATGTAGGTCAGACCCCCAGGAGAGACATTCACCAAATAGGTATCTATGGCCTGAAGGGGGGAGGGGAGCACCACAGTGGGGGGAAGGAGAGAAGGGGAGACACAAGTGAGACGCAGGGAAACGGGGGGCAGGGTTGTCCTTCTGGAAGCTGGGATGTAACACAGGCCTTTTAAATCTACATTTTGAGGCTGGAGAGATGGTTCAGTGGTTAAGAGCACTGGCTGCTCTTCCAGAGGACCCAAGTTTGTTCCCAGCACCCATATAACAGCTCAACACTCTCTAACTTTAGTTCCAGAGGATCTGACGCCCTCTCCTGGGCCTCTACAGGCACTGCATGCACATGGTACACAGACACACCCAACCCATAAAATAAAAATAACAAGTAAATCTCTAAAGGCTGAAAAACAAAACAAAACAAAACAAACAAACAAACAACAACAACAACAAAAACAATGGAGTTTTAAAGAATATTTAAAAATCTTTACAATGGGACCCGGGAGATGGCTCCGCAGGTAAAAATGCCTGATGTGCAAACTTGTCCACCGAGTCAGATTCCCAGATCCAACAGTAATCACAATGAGTAAAATAAAGATCAACGAGGCTTCCTTCCTTTCCACTGCAGTGTTTGCTAAGAAGGCCTTGGCCTGAAGGCTGCTGGCTTGTCTGGGCTCCAGCATCCAGAAGGCTCTGGAGTTCCCAGCCTTCCTGTGGCTACCGGCCTTTGTGGGAGGGAGGCCCCTGTGTCTCATTAGAAAATGAACCTCGCTGGGCAGTGGTGGCGCACGCCTTTAATCCCAGCACTTGGGAGGCAGAGGCGGGCAGATCTCTGTGAATTCAAGGCCAGCCTGGTCTACAAGAGCTAGTTCCAGGACAGGCACTAAAGCTACAGAGAAACACTGTCTCGAAAACAAGCAAGCAAGCAAACATACAAAAAAGCAAAAGGAAAAAAGAAAAATATAAAGAAAATGAACCTCTGCCTCTGTCCAGGGCTTCAGCAGTGCTTTCTCCCTCTGTGCTGGCCGTGGGAGGATCGGCTCCCCCTCATCACCCACCGGAGCTCCGCTCCTTCTGCTAGCTCTGTAGACTCCTTTTAGTACAAAGGGGCCCCTGAGAAATGACTCATGATGTTGGGGTACCGTCTGCCAATAGTTCCAGGAACTCTGAGCTGGCCTCCGTAGGCCCATGAGTCCTGGCTTTAGCTGAAGACTCATGGGAACATTACTGGTCCTCTGTCCGCGTGTATGCCTGCAGGCCACAAGAGGGCACCAGATCTCATTACAAATAGTTGTGAGCCACCATGTGGTTCCTGGGAATTGAACTCGGAACCTCTGGAAGAGCAGCCAGAGTTCTTAACCTCTGAGCCATCTCTTCAGCCCTCCAATCTACTCTTAAATGAATGGATCACATCATAGGCCCTTATGCAACCTCAACAGATTCTTGGCACCATTGAAAGAAGGCCCCACTAGGCCTCAAAAGTACCCTGACTTGGATGGACCCCAAGGAGTCACTGGTTTTCAAGACTGGTTCCTGGGCACACAGTCTGTGAGCTCAAATCTCTTTTCTACCAGTTCTGCTGTGTGACACTGGGCAGGCTACACACTTTCTCTGTGCCATGTCAGCTTTGTCTCTTTGCACCAGAGTCCCTAAGAGACACGGCCCATAAGTCCTCACAGCCGTCTCCTGCCGTCTACCCACAGCCTCCCCAGCATCATCAGCCTTTTCCCATTCATGCATGCCCCCATATGGATATCCCAAGAGGGCCGGGGTCTTTGGGGGAGGCCAAGGCTAGGGACACAGTAGCACTGTGGATGGGCTTAGCTCTGGGTGCAGCGGTCTCTGTCAAATGCCTACAGGAATGATTGTCTGTGACCAGCAGTCAGGAAGAAAAAAAATGAGGGTTCGAGATGAAATATGGACATTCTACTTTGTAGAATGTAGAATGAGGTCAGAGAGGTCTCTTGTCTCTGGCTGTGTGTGCCCACTCTGCATTCTGAGCCCTGGAAGGCCTCCTCCAGCACACTGGGGTTCTTGGAGGGTCAGCCAGCCCTCTTATGCCTACCCCCTGACTCTCCACTTGGAGCATGATGGCACCCAGTGCCTTATCCCCACCTCGGAGTGTCGCCTGACACAGCTGTCAGCCACCAACCAGGACCTGGCACACGAAGACAGCCTTGGCTTCTGGATCTGTTTTTCTTTCTCCTCTCCTGTCGGGGCCAGGGCTGGGAGTCTGGCTGTGGAACCCTCGCTGAGTGGCAGATGGGAAAGGGGCTGATGAGGTGCCTTGCTGGGGCACCAGCTCCACGTGGGGAGTGTGCTGAGGCCTGGAGTGCGAGCAGCTGCTAGGCGGGGCTGCTCTAGGTTCAGCACTGGCTCCTGGGTAGAGTGGGGTCCCAGCAGCTGGTCCGTTAAGGGTCACTGCAGGGGGTGGGCATCTGGGCAACTGCAGGGGGTGGCCATCAGGGTGAATCCAGGGCCCCATAACCTACCTATGTGTTGGATGTGATAAAGAAGATGTATTGGGATATGATGCCAGGATGCCATGCCACACGGCTGGGAAACAACACCTTCTAGGCCCCCTCCCACAGGCTGGGTGAGTCCCAGGCTGCGTAATGGCCTCTCTGAGGAAACCACAGATCTGTGTCTCTGACTGAGATAGAGACAAGCAGAGGTGGAGATAGAAGTCAGGCCACATTCTGTTTGTGTTCATATGTGCACTGTGCATGTGTGGTTATGTTTGTAATGTGTGCGCATATGTGTGGAGGCCAGAGGGCAGCCATAGGTGTTCCTCAAGCGCTGTCCAGCTTGGTTTTTTGGGGGGACAAGGTTTCTTACTGGGATCCTGGGCTTGTTGGTTAGACTAGCTGGCCAGTGAGACCCCCTCGGGACCCTCATCTCTGCCTCCCCAGCTCTGAGATTATAAACGTAGGCCACCATGCTGGGCTCAGGGTAGGTTCTGGGGAGTAACTCTGGTCACTTTATAGAGTGAACCATCTCCTTAGCCCAAACTAAAGCCTAAAAAGCCACAAGACATGGCATGGGGGTGTGGCACGGAGGGGCTGAGTTTGGTCAGGGGATGGGGTCTGGATACCTATGGGCCACTTCCCACTTTTCTGAAGGCTCACTTTGCTCACCTGTAAAATGGGAATGCAAGCTCACAAGCAGGTTATGGTAAAGCCTGAAGGAAAGAGTATTGTGACCTGGCTCGGTGCCTGGCCCAGTTCCTTTCTATGCCTATTGGGAAGTTCACCTGAGTCTTCTTACAGGGACCCAAGTGACTTGCAGCCAGCCAGTGCAGGCACGGACAGTAGGGTTAGCATCAGGCAGGCCCCTGCTCCTGCCCTGGCTCTTGCTGTAGTGTGGCCAGACCTTCTGGTTTCTTTAAGATGGCATGAATACAGGGACTCGCTGGGAGGCCACAGCGACAAGGCCCTCCTTGGCTTCCTTAAGTGTCCTCCTCTTATGGGCCTCAAGGGTGTGTCTGTGGGGTGTCTTAGATCTTCCTAGCCACCCCAACTGGACCCAGGTTGAGCCTGCAGGTTCCCAGCCCTTGCTCACACAGGCATCCCTGGGAAGCTCCACAGAGGCATCCCTGAGCCACCCCAGAGGGTCTGGCGCCATTGCTGAGGTCCAGCCTGAGAAGGGGTCTGAGTCTCCTAAGTGATTCCAACATGCCAGCAAGGCTGAGGAATCACTAGAATATTCTTCAAAGCCCCAGACCTGCCAGAGGCCTGCCCTTCACTCAGGGTCTGCGCCCCCAGGCTCCTAACAGAAGATCAAATGTGGGAGCCGAGTTTTCTCTGCTCAGCCATGCTTTCTGAGGCTTCCAGACTGCTTAATAATTCATAGCCATCTCTCCCCTTGAAGCTGCAGCCACAGTGTGCCCTAAGGGCCTCGAGGCAGTGTACTCGTTAGGTTAATGTCTACTCTGCAGAGAGTTGCAGGAAGAAAAGAAAGCAATCCTCCTGTAGGGGACGCTGGCCAAAGCCAAGGGCAGTCAGGGCTAAGATGGAATGAGCTGAGCTGTACTGCTTCATGCCAGGGCGTGGCACCAGGGGGCCAGGCAGAGACCTCTCACTCCTTAGTCCACAGTTTAAGAGGCCCACGGCTCGAGCAGTCTGCTTCAGTGTGCTCCTGTAAGCACTCCCATTACCAGGCAGACTTATGCCATCAAACAGCGCCTAGAGAGCACCTATCCACCCATCTGTGCATCCACCCAACTGTTCACATCAATCTCCCCCTCCCCCAATAGATCTATCTATCTGCTCAACATTAGTTCACCCATCTCCCATGCATTTCTTCATCAACCCATCCACCCATTCATATCCAATCCACCTATCTACCCATCAACTAATCCATGCATTGATCCATCCATTCAAGTGGTCACATCAATCTGCCGGCCGTCCACCCATCTACTCAGCTATCCATCCGTCTGTCTCTCTATCCACCATCCATCCACCAACCCATCCACCCATCTACTCCTCTGTTTACTGGTCCATCTATCTGTCCACCCATCCACCCACTAACACATTCATGCATCTGCCCAGCTGTCTGAAGTGTTCATATCAGTTCACTCATACATCCACCCACTCAAAAATCTATCAGGCCAACCATCCATTTGTCCATCCTTTCATCTATCCATCTGGATGCCCATACCAATCTACCCATACACTCACATGTCCATCGTCTGTCTGTCCATCCATCCATCCATCCACCCATCCATCCACCCACCCAACTGTTCACAACGGTCCACACATCCACATACCCACTTATCTATCCATCTGTCCATCCATCTAGCTATCAAACTGTTTATATCCATCCCTCAATCCCTCGATCAACTGTCCACACCTATCCACTCATACACCCACCCACCCATCCATCCAAACACCATTCATTCTTCTTATCCATCACCCAGCACCTACTTTTTCATGTAACAGTTATTGTGTGCCGGCCATTGCCAGCCTGTTTCAGGAGTGAGGCTTATGGGGTAAACAAGGAGACAGGACTGTCGGTTGGAGAACTCACAGAGTATTTGGGGAAGATCAGCAAGGATTAGGTGTTTGTAAGCAATCATTTTGGATTCTGTTACAAGTGAAGAAGAGAATCAGCCTGGACGTGTGATGGACAGGCTGGGCAGGTCATTTTGGCAGCATATGTGCCAAGGGTTGGCCGCTCTAAAGGACCTGGCTTTTGAATGGCATTCTGGGTAGAGCGTTTGGCATGTACAAAGGTGCTGAGGTGGGAACAGCCTGGTGCACCTGAGGAAGCAGAGGGGCAAGGGGGGAGTGGTGTGGTCCTGGTGATTGACAGGTCCCAATCAGGTAGGACCCAGTGGGTGGAGGGGGTGGGTCACGATCAACTCCAGGAGTAAAGGGGAGATGGCGAGGAGACAAGCAAGCATCTCCAGCCCCACGACTGCTGTGTGCAGAACTGATTTAGAAGCAGGGCAGAGGGGAACAAGGAGCTCACACTAAAGGACATGAGGTGGTGTTCTAGAGCAAGGCAATGGGACAAGGAATCCAACTAAATTCATGGGAAATCGAAGCCCAAGTCTTCTCCATGCTTTTTCTTTTTTAAAAAAAAAAATTCTCTTTAGATGGTGATGATAATTTTGTTTTTCGAAACAGGGTTTCTCTGTGCAACAGCTCTGACTGTTCTGGAACTCACTTCGTACACCAGGCTGGCCTTGAACTCACAGAGACCACCTGCCTCTGCCTCCTGAGTGCTGGGATTAAAGAAGTGTCCCACCACCACACAGCTAGATTTATTATTTTTACTTTTTGCCTGCGTGTATGTCTGTGCACCATGTGTATGCCTGGTGCCAGGGAGGTCAGGGGATGGCACTGGATCCCCAGACAGTTGTGAGTCACCAGGTGGGTGCTGCGACATGAACCCAGATCCTCTGTAAGAGCAGCCAGTGCTCTTAATGACTGAGCCATCTCTCCAGCCCTGCCCTGAGCTTTCCAACTGTTAGGTTCAAAGGCATCCACAGCTCCAGCCAGTCAACTCCTGGTCTGTTCTCAATGTTCTTCTTCAGAGGGCCTCACTCCAGCCTCCACCCCTCTTCCCTCCACAGCCCACGAAGAGACCAGCAGCGGCCCTAACTCTGCTAGCGCAGTGCTGTGTGGCCTTGGGCAAGTGTCCTCCTCTCTCTGGATCTCGGCTGGCATCCACATGGGAAAATGAGCAGAAGCACACGTTCCACACATCCTGGATGCCACTCTCTCTCTGCTGAAGTGTCACCTCCCCTTTACAGAATGACAGCTGAAGATCCCAAAGGCTCCTGGCTGCCATGTAGGCATTGACACATTAGCTGAAGCCCAGAGACTGTTGGGGGAGGGCTTAACTAAGCTTCCTAAATCAGACTGTCACTTCCTATGAGACCTCGGACAAATGGGCTGACCTGCCTGAGCCCGGGGTTCTGAGCACGAGGGAGGAACACGCAGATGTCTCCTGAATCTGGGGAGGTGTCAGCGTGCAGTGTGGCTGGGGAGGCCTCGCCTGTCACTCCCTGCCCATTCTGTGGCCCCTCCCAGCACGCAGGGCCCTGAGGACTGGTGGCTGCCCACTGGGCAGGCAACGGGAAACTTCTCTTACCTCCAATGCTTCGTCGTACATATTTTTAGCCTCCATGTCTGTTTTGGCAGACATCAACCAGGACTTAATCAAATATTCATAAAAACTGTCCCCAAGTCCTCCAACCGAGACGTGGTCTGCAGGAAAAGATGACAGGAAGGATTAGCACATTTATTATCGGTTGGGTTCAAATGGCAGCCTTCGTGGTCTGAGCTGGGCCTGGAGTGGAGCCAGCATCTGGTCAGCTGCCACCCAGCCCAACTTGGGTGGGCGGAAGGGACCCAGTGGGAACCAGAGCATCTTGAGCCAGGTGTCCTGTATCCCTGCACAGGGTCCTCGGGGCCATAGTCCATCTGGCCTTAGCAGGATGATGACAAGGACCCTGGTTACTGTAAAGAGCGGATTTTCTCTTTAAAATCCCTTGAGATTTAAAAATGGATGCAGAGCAACTATTCTGTAGTAAAGTTATGGGAATGCAGACCAAAAGAGGGCAGCTGTGCGCAGGGCTCCTTCCCAGCGGCTTTGCAGGCCCATGCATGAAGTTTGGAGTTTCTCATAGTCTGTGTTTTTCTTTTTTATTACAAATTTATAATAAATACTAGGAAATATATATGAATGAATATACATATATCTGTGTCTATGTGAATGTGCATGTGTGTGTGTGTGTGTGTGTGTGCATATGTGTATCTCTTCCCGGGCCGTTCGCAGTGAATGCTGGCCCTTCAGAAAAGGCTAGGAAAGGGGAGTAAGAGTGAGTCCTGGGTCAGACCCCAGCTGCAGAGCACCTTGGGGAAACTGAGTTGGTCTGTGCAGATCAAGATGATGGGCGCTGGAGGGGAGGGAGGGTTGGGATCCCTCTCTGTCTGGGGACGGTGGGCCAGCGCTATAGTGGTGTGCTGTGTTTGTATGGTACATACATGGTTTGTATGTATGTGTATATATAGTGTATGTGTCGTCTTGTGCAGTGTTTGTGTGTATGCATGGATCTGGGTGGTCAATGTCTGTTGTGTGTATGTGTAGGTCTGTGTGACATTTTTGTGTGTGGTGTGTGTTTTGGCTGGGTTTAAGTATGGGTCTATGTGGTGTATGTGTGTTTATGTAGATCTGTGTGGTGTATATGTGTGAGTCTGTGGTGTATATCTGTGTGTAGGGTGTATTTGTGTATGTCTGTGTGGTATATGTCTGTATATATGTGTATGTCATCTGGTGTGGGTATCTGCGTTTGGTGTATTTGTGTATAGAGTGTGACTATGTGGTATGCGTGTGTGGTGTGTTTGTATATATGCGTGGATCTGTGTGGTATGTTTGTATGTATGCGTGGGTCTGTGTGGCATATGTCCATATTTATGTGTGTGCTATGTGTGTTTATGCAGATCTGTGTTGTTTATGTCTTTGTGTCTGATGTGCGTTTGGTGTGTTTGTATATATTTGTAGCATATGTCTGTGTGTCTATGTGTGTGATGTGTTTGTGCATATGCATGGGTCTCTGTGGCATATGTCTGTGTGTGGCGTGTGTGTTTGGAGCCCAGTGGGTTATCCTGGGCATAGTTTACACTGTAGGTGGGGTTGAGCATCCCGAGAGGCTGAAGCCAGGTGTGAGGAGTCTAGGAAAGAGACAGGAGCAGAGGCTGGGTGACTTGAGCTGTGGCCCTAACACTCCCCCCCCCCCCCCCCGCCTTCCCCTGCCATTTCTGCGGTAGTAAATGATGCAAGCAGCCTCCTGAGTGCCGCTGCCTCGGGCCGCTTGGAGAATCCAAGGGGAGGGAAGAGTGCGAAGGCACTCAGTTTATGCAAGGTGGAAGTGGCGTACCTGCTGAAAAGACAGTCACACGGAAAGAACCCAACAAAGACCAGAGACCCTGAGATGACCTGGGGCAGAAGCCAGGAGGAGGCAGCCCTGACAGATCCAGCAGGCCCAGCCTTCCCTCTGCTCTCCAGCAGGCCAACGATTCATCTGCTATTAGCATGAAATAGTCTCATACACGTGACCCCAGGAGCAGCCTGGAAAGAAAACGATCCCGTGCAGCGGGAAGTCACTCCATGGCTCTCTTCTGCTTGCTGCGCCTAGGCTGCCAGGGATGGAACAGTTCTGAAGCCCTTGCCTTCCATGCTCATAACCTGTATTGGAGCCTCAGTTTCCTCATTCTGACAAGTATTTTGGTTGAGAATTCCACGTTTCTGTGATTTTTAAGAAGAGGCTGTGTGTGGCAAAGGCATCATGGCAAACTTCTTGGGTGGAATTTCCTGGGCCTCTGGGCCTGCTGAGGTAGAGAGAGGCTCATGGCAGAGGCTCTGCTGGTGAGGAAAGCCCTTGGCAGAAGCTGTGTGGAGTCTGTTGGCCAGTCAGGCCCTGCCTGGATCACTTTCGTTTGGGATGACCTAGGTCACCTTTGGAGGACACCTAGAGCCTTAACTGCTATTCCTAAGCACCTTCCTGGTTGTAGATTATGAATTCAGTTCACTCTCTTCTTCTTTGGAAACCAAGACTCAGAGAGACTGAGAAGGATGAAAATGGACTTCAAACAGAAGACAGACAGACAGATGGACACACAAGGATATAGCTCAACTGGAAGATAGATACAGACAGACACACACATGGATGAATGTAGTACAATTGAAAGATACACACATACACGTGCAAAGATGTTACACAATTGCAAGAGAGAGACACAGGCAGACAGACAGACAGACACCACACACATAAGAATGTAGTACAACTGGAAGACACAGACAGACCACACACATACACACACATGAGAGGATATAGTACAAATGAAAGACACACACACACACATACACACACACACAAGGATGTAGCACAATTGGAAGACAGACAGACAGGCACACACACAGAGGCACGAGGATGTAGCACAACTGGAAGAGACACAGACAGATATACATGCATAGAGAGAGAGAGAGAGAGAGAGAGAGAGAGAGAGAGCGCATTAGAAGACAGACAGACACACATAAGTACAGAGAGAGAGGGAGCACTGGAAGACAGACAGACAGACAGACAGACACACACACCCCAGTTCCTGCTGAGTGACCATATGGCTGAGCCTTAGAGACAAGGCCAGAGAAAAGCTTGCCTCTCCCAGAGCCTGGCCCCTCCAGCTGGAGCACAGCAGGGAGACTGGTCAACTCTGCAGCCCAATCTGTGTCAGTGGGTGGGAATGATGCTCACAAGACTGATAGCTCTGTGGACAAAAAGTTGCTAGGTGTGGTGTTGCACTCTGTCATCTCAGCCCTTGGGATGTGGAGGCAGGAGAATCAAGAGTTCAAGGCCAGTCTTGGTTACCTAACAAGTTTGAGGCCAACCTGGGCTACCTGAAGACCTTTTCTCAAATAAAAAGTCTTTAAACAACTGGGCATGGTGGGACATGCCTTTAATTCCAGCACTCTAGAGGCAGAGTTAGGCAGATCTCTGAGTTCGAGACCAGCCTGATTTACAAGCAAGTTCTGGGACAGTCAGGGTTAATTCTTTAAACAAAACGAAACAAAAAAAGCTAAAAAAAAAAAAAAAAAAAAAAACCCAGTACTGATTTGGGTAAGTTTAAGATACAGTGGTGAGTGAGACATTTTTACATCACCACCTAGTTTGGTCCTGCCTTAAATTTTGCCTAAATCAAAGCTGAAAGTGGAAAGCTAGATCAAAGGAGTTGGGGAATGTCACAGGGTCTATCCTGTAGTCATTTCTGAGTGACAGCCCTAAGTGGAGCATTCCTGCGAGTCTGGGGATCACAGAGGAGGGTGCGGAGGTTCTGTGAGAGATGGACGCTGTGGTGGTTTGAATGGCTGGGTCTGGAGAAATAGCTCAGGGGCTGAAGAAATGGCTCAGCAGTGAAAAGCTTTGGGTGATCCTCTAGAGGGCCCCGAGTTCAATTCCCAGCAACCACATGGCAGCTTACAACTGTCTGTAACTCTAGTTCCAAGGAATCCAAGGCCCCAGGCATGCACATGGTGCATAGATATATGTATGTAGGCAAAATATCCATACACACCAAATAAATAAATTTTTTTTAAAAAAAGAATAGGAATGGCCCTATAGACTTGTGTGTTGAAAGCTTGATCCATAAGGAGTGGTTTATAGGAGGTGTCACTGTAGACACAGGCTTTAAAGTCCCATCCATACTCAGGCTATGCCCAGTGTGGCACCCAGTCTCTTTCTGCTGCCTGCAGATCCAGAGGTAGAACTCTCATCTTCTCCAGCACTGTGCCTGTCCGCACGCTGCCATGTTTTCACTGTGATGATAATGAACTAAACCTCTGAAGCTGTAAGGCAGCCCCAATTCAATGTTTTCCTTTGTAAGAGCTGCTGTGGTCATGGCGTCTCTTCACAGTGATAGAAACCCTGAGACAGATGCTAAGAAGGCTGGGAGGAATCGGATACGCAGATACTGGCTTGTCCAGACTGGTGAATTCAAGAGCCAGTGATCTCAATCAGTGCCTGCTTGGGCTCAGGAAACCTGAATAGGAACCCGTGGGATGAGGGCAAGGATACCGGTACTCACGTTGCACCCAGTTCCCGCTCACTGGGCTGAGGAAATTGGGGTAGAGGCCGAAGGGCTTGTCAATCTCCCTGAGGACCTTGCGGATTTTTCTGACCTGTGAGAAACACCAGGGGAAGTCACTTTCTGGAAGAAGCCACTCATTCCCCACTCTCAAGGAGGGAGCAAATGGTTCAGAGGTACACGGGTTGTGTGTGTGTTAAAGCTTTCCGGTGCCTGTGGGGAGGCCATGAAAGAACCGCAGGTTCTGTGCCCACACTCAGAGCATGATGGGGTGTGGCCAAGTGGGGGGGGTGGGCCCACCACCCCTCCTGTTGACTGCTCTGCCTGGGACAGTCCTATCCTAGGCTGCCTGCCTAGGATACCTGGGATACCTAGGATACCACCCTGTGAACCACTCTGGGTGAGGAGTTAGATGAGTTGCAGTGGCTATCTTGTAATCACTAAATTTCCTCTTTAAGAAAAACACGTAGCTCAGGCTGCCCTTGAACTCTTAATCTTCCTGCTTCCACTCTGAGTGCTAGGGTTACAGGCACCCTATTTTTGAGTGCTTCGGAGCAATCCCGGGCCTCGTGCATCTTTGGCAAACACTGCTGTTGTAGCTCTATCCCCAGACCCAATGGTGTGGCTGTGGGGAGCTAGGGCATAATACTCAGGTTTCTCTGGTCCCTTGGAGCTGTATTCCTTACCCTGCATGGAACAGCCATTGAGGATGACCCAGAAGATGAGCACATAGCGACATAGAGTTGCGGATGGGCTTGCAGCCTTGGAGACTGCACACGGTGAGAGATGCAATTGAGAACTTTGTCTAGCCGTCTACTAGAACTGAACCCTCAGGGAGAGCAAGCCTCCAGGACCATACTGCTGCCTGCTCATGGATGAACTGGCATGGCAGGGCCGCTGGGAGGTGGAGCTGTCAGCCTTCCTATTCCTCAGAGGTACTTGGTTTCGCCTCACTGGCCCTCATGTCCCTTTAGGGTGAGAGAGACCGTGAGAGGGCCAGGAAGATTCTGGGGCCTGACTTAGGCTTCCCTGTCCTGGTGGGGCCCAGGGAAGCGGCTGTATTAGCGACCCTGAGAGGATGCAGGGCGCTGTAAGAATTTGGGCCAATTTGTTGACTGCTAATAATCTCCTCAGTGGGAAGCATGAGGAGGGGCTGAAAATAGCTCAAGTATGCAAATGGAGTGTGCAGAGGGACGGGGGAGACTGGAGGTGCACCCTGCAGCTAGCTATGCTGATCTGCCCAGGGAAGAATAGGCTGGAAAGTTCCTGGCCCAGTTCTTGGCTGTATCATGGCTGGCTGTCCTTAGCAGGTCACTCAGCCTCTCTGGATTATTCCACCTTCTACCTCTCCGTTAGACAGGCCTGGCAGAACTCCCCACCCGCACCCCAGGCCTGCTGAAGCTTAAATAAAATATGCCCAGGACATGGCAAAGGTCAGTGTGCACTCATGGGACCCTTTCCTGAGCTGACCAGAGCTTCCCAGGGGAGCCCAGCTGGAAGGTCAAGAGAACAGAAAGCCTGGGCTGGGTAACGGGTCAGAGAGCATGCATGGCATTGGGTGGTGGGAACCACAGCCCTGGACAGGTAAGGGTGGGAGGGAGAGGAGGTCAGAGGCACCAGCTGAGAAGGTGGGAAGCTTGTCCTGGTGGCGGCCCACGCGAGGACAGTGATGCTGAACCTGATGTTAAGGAGCACGGGGCTTCCTGTGAACGTGCCAACTCTGGGGCCGGGGCAGGCAAAGGCCAGGAACCCATTTCCTTCCAGCTGTGTGGGTGGTGGTAGGGAATATGGTCTGAGGACAGCTGGTGACATGACACAGAGCCACCAGGTAGAGGTGTGAAGTCATCTCAGAGACAGCAGGACCCCAAATGCTGTTTTCAGGGGGCTACACTGCCTTCTTTGGATCCAGGATTAGATCTGAACCCAGACATTTCCTTGGCTATAGCCCTTTCAGAGAGCTTCCCAGGGCCCAGGATGGACAGTTGTCAGAACTGGGCAGTGATCTGGATGTTACTTCTCAGCACCCATGTAGCCTTGGGCAGCCGAGAAGAGAGATAAGGAACCATTCTGCCAGCCTGCTGCCAGCCTAAGCCAGACAGGCACCTGGGAGGGAAAGGGAGGCAGATCTCACACACACAGAAAAGCAAAATGTCCCTGGAAAGGGTACGTGTGCACAACACCGCCTGTTCCTGCCAGTACGAGGAGCCTGGCTCAGTGGCAGTCTCCAGATTTCACAGTTCACAGCTCTGCACCAGTCAATGAGCCAGCACACACCTCCCTGGCAGACCTGGGAGCTTCTGTCCCCCCCACCCGCCACCTGCCATTGAGCACAGTTGGTTCCTCTACCAGCAACTACTATGAGAGTGGTGACTGGGGGTCCTGCACACCCTGACTGCAGACAATCGCCCTCCGCCCCTCTGCCCCTCTGCTGGGGTGTGGGATGCTCGCCCTCTGCCCCTCTGCTGGGGAGTGGGATGCTCGCCGTCTGCCTCCCTGCTGGGGTGTGGGATGCTTGCCCTCTGCCTCCCTGCTGGGGTGTGGGGTGCTCGCCCTCTGCCCCCCTGCTGGGGTGCAGGATGCTCGCCCTCTGCCCCTCTGCCCCTCTGCTGAGGTGTGGGATGCTCGCCCTCTGCCCCTCTGCTGGGGTATGGGATATTTGCCCTCTGCCTCCCTGCTGGGGTATGGGATGCCTGTCTGGGGAGAGAACAGGGGAGAGCTTACCTTTTCTGCAAAGACCCGGTTGCCAGAGAGTTCAGTGAGGTGCAAAAATTCCAAGTGCAGGGATCCGAACTCAGCCAGGATGCTGCTGCTGCCCGCGGTGGCCCAGCCCCAGTTACCACTGAAAAGACATCAGCTGTGTCACCCTGCTGGCTTCTTGGCTGAGAGGAGCAGTGGCTATGGTAGGGGGTGATGCCTGCTGGGTGCCAGACACCTCAGTTTATCCTCCTGGGCCCCACTATGTGGATGGCACCAGGGCAGGTGAGGGGACGGAACTTACTGAAGGGGGTCTGAGGCTGCGCCACAGTCTTTGTCCCTACTAAGCGGCCTCTATAACGTTTGGGACTCAAGGCATGACACACAGTTATTTCACACAGTGAAATCTGCAGGTGATGCTGACAGTGTGGTCAGGAGCCACAAAGGCCCCACAGGACACACAGTGGTCATCTGTAGGCTTGCAGAGGGCAGTTCCAAACAGGGATTCCCCCTCCCCAAGGCACACACATACACTTTTGCCTTTCTCCCTATCCAAGGTCATAGAATAGCCCCAAATTGGAGTCTCCTGGGACCTACAAGGTGTGACCACAGCCCTACAACTGCTGGACCCAAGGAAGCTGGGGCTTAGAAGTAGAAGAAGTGGGGCCCCCAGAGCTTGGGCTAGTGCCCCACGAGACTGTGCCTCTCATGAGTGCATCAGTTACATTTTCTTCTCTGTGCTTGCACAGGTAGCCACTTCGGGGAGCAGTGCTCTAAGATTAAAGCTCAGAACCAGCACACACGTTAGCCCCCCCCACTTTCCCATCTAGAGACAAAGACTCTGGCCCACAGTCAGGTACCTCCTGCCGGGAGTCACCAGTCTGGGCAGCAGCTGGGCCCAAAGGAAGCTGAACTGAGCCAGCCCTGGGGGAAGCCACCACCTGCATCACTCTGGCCCGAGAGGGGGCGCTACCCAGACCTCCCACCTGCTGCACCCTGGAACTAGAAGATGTAGGGCCCAGCACCGCTCGGCTGGCACCCTCAGGCAGGTCCCTGTATGCTGCAGTTCCCATCTCTGCATAAGGGAATGAGGACAACTGCCCTTGCCTCCCCGCCTGGCACTTCTGTGGGGACTCGGGACTGAATAAGGAGGGTGGTAGGCAAGAGGCTCCCTCTCCATGTGTCTCAGATTCCATACACATATCCCAGTTACTTTCCCAGGGGCTACTTAGGACTCCAGGGGGACAGACATTCTGTAGAGAGTTAGTGTAAGACGGGGTGAGGATGGGCCAGGTGCAGGTTGTGGGGTGGCTGTGTTGCCTTTTGGAGGCCCCCCCTGCCCTCCTACTGCCTAGGAAGCGGCTGCTGTTCATCCGTCTCCAGCACTTGGGAAGGCAGTGGGGGGCGGGGAGGTGCCTGGGGACCACACTTCCGCTGGTGCAGGCCGGAGGCCTCTGAGCTCTGCTCTTGCTCAGCATGGGTCTCCCTGAAAAGCCGGGGGAACTGCGGGGAGAGCCAGCTCCCGGAAGCCGATAGGGGCGATAAGGCGGTGACTTCCATCCCTGCAGAGACTGCCACACCCCTCGTCCTGTCCAGGGAGTGGTTTCATCTTCTACCTGGAGCTCACAGGCGTGGTTAACCCCAGCACCCAAAGGAGGAAACTGAGCTTGTCAAGGGAATGATGTGTGTGCTTATAACCAGAGCCCGCAGGAGGTGGAACTCCAGCCTGGGCTTTCTTCCTCCAGCTGGGGAGCTCAGAGGTCTTCCTGGGTGATATCGACTGATGTTTCATAAGTTAAAAATAAAAAAGCCCCAACCCCCCAGTTAGTTTTCTTTCTTCTTTCTAGACAACATCTCACTATGCCACCCTGGATGTTCTGGGACTCACTGTGTAGACTAGATTGGCCTTGAACTCACAGAGATCCGCCTGCCTCTGCCTCCCCTGGGATGAAAGGCGTGCACCACCACTCCCCCATCTTCCCGATAGGTTTTGTCCTCATTGTCCACCACGTAGGCCTCTCTGTCCTCTCTCCTGCCCCTCACAGTCACTTCAGATAGTAGGGAAGCGTGGGGTGTTCTGGCGGTCTCTGCCTGGCTTCCTCTGTGTCCCTATGACCAGGCGTCCTCAGGAGAGCCCCACCTCTCCCTTTGATCAGCTTCCTCCTTTACTTAAACCCAGACACTCAGCTTCACAGAGCTATTGTGAGGCATTCATCACGCACGTGACTGTCATTTTTATCAGCATGTAATTATGCATATGTAAAGTGACAATAAACTTCTAACAGGAGCCAGGTGGCTTTGGTGGCTTCCTTCACCGCCACCTCCAACTCTATAGCAGATACTGTGATCTTCATTTCATAGGTGGGAATACTTGGGCTCAGAGAGGGGGAGACACTTTCTCAAGGTCACACAGCCAGTGGTAGAACTGAATCCAAATCCTAGGTACTAGATGCACCCACAGCATGCGTGCTGAGCGGCATCCTGGAAGGAGGGCATTGTGTGTATAGGCATTGTGTAGGTGTGTATAGGCATTGTGTAGGTGTGTATAGGCATTGTGTAGGTGTGTATAGGCATTGTGTAGGTGTGTATAGGCATGTTCAGAGGGAGCACATCCGCACGAGTCCATGCGTGGATTTGAGAATAGCCTGTCAGTGGCCAACTTGAGTGTCTGAGACCTTACTAGTGGCATGGGCAGAAGAAGGAGTGTTTTGGGCAGGTGTGTACGTGTATGCGCACACTTAATGCACGTGTGCACACCAGTGACAGACTGATTCAGTCTGAGGTCCCTGGATTGGCCACAATCACTGCCTCAGATAGCCCAGTGGTTACTGCAGGCCCCAGCTGGCCCTGCCCCTCCTATGATGCCCTCTGTACAGAGATGAGCGCCCACCTCCACACTGGGCAGTGTGGCGCACCCCCACACTGGGCAGTGTGGCGCACCCCCACACTGGGCAGTGTCGCGCACCCCCACACTGGGCAGTGTCGCGCACTTTCACACTGGGCAGTGTCGCGCACCCCTCCACTGGGCAGTGTCGCGCACCCCCACACTGGGCAGTGTCGCGCACCCCCACACTGGGCAGTGTCGCGCACCCCCCCACTGGGCAGTGTCGCGCACCCCCCCACTGGGCAGTGTCGCGCACCCCCACACTGGGCAGTGTCGCGCACCCCCACACTGGGCAGTGTCGCGCACCCCCACACTGGGCAGTGTCGCGCACCCCCACACTGGGCAGTGTCGCGCACCCCCACACTGGGCAGTGTCGCGCACCCCCACACTGGGCATTGTCGCGCACCGCGTGTGTTGCACACCCCCACACTGGGCAGTGTAGCGCACCCCCACACTGGGAAGTGTCGCGCACCTCGCCCCCTAGCTGTCCGGAACCAGGCCTGCTGAACACTAGCGCAGCAGCAGATATCTCCCGCCCTCTACCAGGTCATCTCTGCGGCGCGTTCGCAGTAGCACGTGGCCACCGTGTCCTCGCTACCCTCCCGTTTTTAGCAGTCACTTCTTTCCCAGAATATGAAAGCAAGCGATGCCAGGAAGAATATGCGCGTGCTGTGTATCTCGATGGCGAGCATGCAGCCTAAAAATATCCATGCCTGAGCCAGGATCCTAGAGTCTGTGGCACCAGCTCCATGGGGCCACAGGTGAGACAGCAGGCTAGGGCTGCAGCAGAGGAGTGGACCCTGAGGGGTGCGCCCAGACCCGGAGTGAGGGTGTGGGTCACTTCTGTATTGATTCTCAGGATTGGTGTTTGTGGAGGGCACAGGTCTATGTGCAGACCTCTGCGGCATTGAATCTGGGGTGGAGGAGGACTTCCCTCAGCCCTCATGGCTGCCCTGGCTTCTGTGGAGCTTCAGTGAGGACACTGGGGCAGTTTCCCACCAGGAGGCAGGTGAAAGGAGCACTGGCTTGGGGGACATGGAGGGCAAAGCTACCAACGCCACAAGACAAGAGGGAGGGTGGAGACGAGCAGAAGCTGGGTTGGCTCCCCTCCTAGGCGCTGGGCCAGCATTCCTGTGAGGTACCCCACGTGGGGGCTCAGGCAGGTCAGGGAGCATGAATTTCCCCAGTCTTTCTCCCAGCTCAGGTATGCCACACATGGCCCAGGGAGCTGCAGGTGTCTGGGGACATGGCCCTATACCTCTGTGTCTTCCAGAGGTCTGCTCCACCTAGCTCAGAGTCAGGGCTCTGATCTCACAAGGAGAATGACCTACCTGGAGGCTCTGAGCCCTGCCTCTGAGGGTGGGAGCCAACTCCGGAGACTACGAGTTAACAGTGATGGGGGCTATATGCAGAGGAATGAATGCCCTCTCCCCCAGGAAGGTCAGGCCTGGGTGGCCCAAACCCTAGACTTGGTAACCAATAACTGTCCAGGATAGTACTTAGCAAAGACCAGTTCTCACTATGCACAAAATAGGAACTGTGTTTTTCTCATACCTCAGCCCCCACATCTGTAAAAATGTAAGTCAGACAAAAGTGACTCCCAAGGACTCCATTCTGCCCACCACTCGGGACCCACAGATGCCACCAGTTTACAAGGGCACCTCACCTTTTGAAGTTCACGACGCCCTTGGGGATGCCTGTGGGTGTATTGAAGGCAGGCAGCAGTTTCTCACCCAACTTGATGGCCTTTACTCGGAACACCTGCCAAGAAAGGTCAAAAGGCACTGAGTTCATTTTTGGGGGAGTCAACACTAGGGTACAGGATTGGGAAGAGGCCCAGTGTCAGGTTCTACAGCCAGACAGCCTGGATGGAAGGTCAGGCTCCCAGATTGCTGGCTTTATAGCTACAGACCAGGTATTTCTCTCTGTCAATGTCTATGTTCATAACATGCCAGTGTCGCCCCTCAGATGGTAGGGGGACCTTGGGAAGAGGAGGAGAAAGCAGTCAGCATCACCTTCAGGTCCAGAGTCAGACCCCACTGAGGAGGACGCTATCAGCATCAGCACCACCCTTCGAGGAGCTGAGGGATGGTGCATGCTGAATGGTGCAGCCTGGACCCGGAGCGACCAGAGAGGTCTGTGTGTTGAAGGCTTGATCACCAGGCTTGTTACTACTGGAAGATGGTAGAACCTTTAAAAGCTGGAACCTAGTGAGAGGAGGTAAGTCACCAGTGGGGGGAGGTGGGGACATTGGGCTCTCCCCTCGCTCTCTGTTGCTTCCTGGTCTTGCTTCCATCTCATGATCCTGCCATGATGTTCTGAACCACTACGGAACCAAAGAAGTATGGTCTGAGACCACTGTAAATGTGAGCCCAGTCGAGACCACTGAAACTGTGAGCTCAGTAGAACACTTTCTTTTTGTAAGTTGACTATCTCAGGCATTTTATTCCATGAGGAGAGCTAATTAATACAACAAGAGGGAAACAGTCTATTTGGACAGGGCAAATACAGCACTGGACTAGGAGCCAGATTCCAGAAGCTTCTACCTTCTGGATGACAGCTTCCCCATGAGATGGCAGGGCAAGGGCCTTTCTTTGGTACTCTGAGGCCACTCAGTTGTTTCCATTTTACATACAGGGAATGGAGGGCGAGGGTGAATGGGTTGTTCTAAACCCTCCACGTGATGGCTAAGGAGCCATAATGAGATCCCAGCTCAGGGTCCCCAAGCAAGGTTCCAAGTTCCACAAACTGTTCCTTTGAAATGCCAGACTGACGCAGAAGGATGTGTGACCGTATGACTAGCAGTGTCGCTAGTAACCATTGCCTCCTAAAGGACCAGCATGCTGACTCAGTGTGTAAAGGCGCTTGCTGCTTGAGGACCTGAGTTCAATCCCTAAGACCTCCACATGTGCACCATTACACATGTGTGTGCACACATCCACAAAACAAACGAAAAAATGTAATAAATCCCATTTATTCTTAGGAGATAAATAATTGAGAGTGTTGTGAAGGATTTTATATTACGGTTGCTTATACCAGCATTGCCTAAAATAGACTGCGGTGCACCGAGTGACTGAGAAGAGGTTCAGCTCTGGCTTCCACGCAGTGTAATGTCACCTATGACATAGAAAAACACGCCAAAACAGTATAACTCAGTTTAAAATGTGTTTACATGTGGACGCGTGGAAAAAGGGAACACACCAAAATGTTAGCAGTGTCCTCTCAGAAGGGTTAACCCATGTATTTCCTTCTTTTGATTTATCGGTGCTTTTTATGTAATCATTTTTATTTTGAAAGGAAGGTTTTGCTGTGTTGCCCAGGCTGGTTTTGAATGTCTATGCTCTAGTAATCCTCCTGCCTCAGCCTCCTGAGCAGTTTGGATTACAGGTATTCATGACCATGGACTGGGGAGATAGCTTGGTGGGTAAGGGCACTCATCCTGCAAGCATGAGGACCTGAGTTCGGATCCCCTGCACCCACAAAAAAAAGTTGGCTGTGGTTGTGGCTCCTGGAACCTCAGCACCGGGCATGGCAGAGGGAGGTGGTGCTCCCTGGCCAGGCAGCCTAGTCTAAACGGCAAACTTAAGGTTCAGTAAAAGACATCTGGCTCTGGTCTCCCAGCTTGTGTGTGCGGGCACCCACCCACATGCATGACAAACATCACACACACACACACACACACACACACACACGCACGCACATGCACACGACAGACCTAGAACACAGTTGGACTCCATAGTCAACAAACTGCAGACCGGAAAAAGGAAAACAAAACTGGCCATGATGGGGAACACCTGTAATCTTGGCACCAAGGCAAGAGAAACATTTGAAGCCTGGAATTTGAGGCCAGTGTGGGCTACTCCTTGGAGGGAGGGGTAGAAGGCATATCTGTGTCACAGGATTCTTACTCCTAGAGGAGGGAGGGAGCAGAACACAGCCTCTGCTGCTGGGCATCCTAAGGACTTGGAGAGGATGAACGGAGGCTCTCTGCAAATAGCACGCTATTTCAGGGAAGGGCTGGAGCATTCCTGGAATTCGAGATTCATAAGGGGTCATGGTCCTAGTCACCATGGATACCTAGAGAGGATCATAAATGCCATTTAAGAGATGGGATGCAAGTCCCCAGTCTGCAGCTCTGCTGACTCAGTTTCCTGACCTTCCTAACAACGCGCCAGCAACACAAATCTGCTGAATGAGGGGCTGGGAGAAGGAGTTTGTGGAGTTAGGACTCGAGGCCATGGGTTTCCCATTCCACAGAATAGAACGCAAACAACAAAAGTTCCAGGAGGCAGCTGCTAGAGGCTTCCCAACTCTGAGCGGTAAATGGGTTTGAGGCCTCTGAGGGTACACAGCCTTGCCAAGGAAGAGGAGAGGGAGTGGCAGGGCTAAGGACACTGTTCAGGGCCTGTCGGTGAGTCCTGGAAGTATAGACGTTGGGAGCTGGTCTAGAAATCAAGGGCATCTGTCACCTGGAGCTGCAGGCTCTGCCTTGTGTGTCTGCTGCAGTGCTCCAGGTTGGAAGCCACCGGCTTAGTGACAGAAAGGACTTGATCTCATGCAGGCTTTGGATCTCTTTACCCATCCAGAAGATTGCTGGTGGTGAACGGAACCCACCCAGAGGTGCGGCCCAGGCAGCTGCATGGCTTCCTGAGACCCTGAGGAGGCTGAGCTAGGATCTTCGTGTCTCTCCTGTGCATGGCCCTTAGGAGGCCTTGCTGTAGCTGTCACAGACGGTCCCCGTGGTGCTGGGGAGGGACTGGGCAAGCATGTATGTTCTCGAGTGAAACATGGGTCCACTCTGCCGTCTTGAGAGGGAGTGGGGGAGGGGCTGTGGCTGCAGCCCTCTAACGTCTGTAACAGCTCCCAGGGAAGGGCCCTACTAAGGCGGAGACAGCTGAGCTTCAGAGCAGCTGCTGGGGACTTTCTCTAGGACACCCGGTGTCTGTCCATATAGGGATGTGGGTTCAGTGGTCACAGTTCTGATCGGAGAGGAACAGGAGTTTGATTCTGTAGGGCAGAAAACACAGGGAGCCAAGGGCCCAGCACACAACCTCCCATGTCACTGTGTGACCTTCATTGAGCCCCACACTGTCTGAGCTTCAATTTACCCCCTATTCACAGTAGAATGATGGGGTGTGTCCATTGCAGAGTTTTCGGGAAAGAAGAAGCTTATATGTGACATGCTTCTAAACTGTGAGATGCTGTCCCAACACCCCCAGGACCAGCTCTGTCACCTTTTTAAAAAATAATTTATTATTTTATGTGTGCAGGTAGTTTGGTCATGCGCATGTATGTCTATGCACCATATGTGTACAGTGCACATGTATGTCTGTGCACCATATGTGTACGGTGCACATGTATGTCTGTGCACCATTTGTGTGGAGTGCACATGTATGTCTGCGCACCATATGTGTACGGTGCACATGTATGTCTGCACCATTTGTGTGCGGTGCACATGTATGTCTGTGCACCATATGTGTGCGGTGCACATGTATGTCTGTGCACCATATGTGTGCGGTGCACATGTATGTCTGTGCACATGTATGTTTGCGCACCATATGTGTACGGTGCACATGTATGTCTGTGCACCATTTGTGCACAGTGCACATGTATGTCTGTGCACCATATGTGTGTAGTGATCAAGAGAGCCAGAAGAGGGCATCAAATCCCCTGGGACTGGAGTTACAGAGGTTTGTGAGCTTGTGGGTGCTGGGAATTGAACCTGGGTCCTCTGCTAGAGTATCCAGGGCTCTTAGCTACTAAGTTACCTCTCTAGTGGGAAGTGAAGAAATGGAAAGCCCCCATCAGGCACCCACTGGGTGTCTGTGAGCTTCGTGTGACTGAGTCCTGGTAGCAAGCAGTGACAATGGAGACAGAGGCAAGAAGGCCAAAGGGCTGGAGTAGGGCCTAGTACAGCCCTCAGTGTCTCATGGATTCGTAAGTCTGTTTCGTCACCTGCTAGTGGGTGATGCCCTCCCCGCACTGATGGGGCATCTGTGGCTCCTACAGAGCTGTTCACAGAACTCACAACCTGGTATTTAGAAAACTAACCTGCCTGGGGGTAGTAGGGACCGTGGAGGTGTGCTGCACCTCTGGGCAGGGGGTACAGACAGACTCAGGGAGGCCTACTTGGGCTTCCCTTTGAGCCTCCCATGCCCTGGTCCACAACCCCTGGCCAGATGCTGAGAAGACAAAACAAACAAGGCAGGGGGCTGAGGGCTCAGAACTACGGACTCTTCAGAGAAGGGTCAAAGAGGACTGGGTGGCTGTCACCAAGGAGCCACTAGCTCCTTCCTGAGTGGCTAGTCCTCAGACACCTCCCCTCCTCCTTCTCTGCATCCATCCCTTCAACCGCACCAGCAGGGGAGCTTGGGCAGGTGCCTGCAAGCACATGATTGACTTTGCCTTTGGTTTTTCCTCTCCCTCCGTCATTTTCCTGTCCTGAGGTTTTCGAATGAAATCTAAGCTTTGGATGGCTGGAAGCCGATGGCTCCCATGGACAATTTTTTTTTGGCGGGGGGGGGGGGGCGACAAATTGGTACAAGCAGTAATCTCTACTGAGGAGATTATGTTGGTGGAGAGCGGCCTGCAGCGACTCAGGAGGCAGAGACTTCAGCCATGACAGCTAAGGGAGGAAGACGTTCTTGGACCACAGTGATGGAGGGAGGCAGGATTTCTCTGGCGCTTGCCTGCTTTACCTGCCCGGCTCCTGGTTCCAAGTGGCAGCCGAGCTGGGCAGAGTGGTCTCTGGATCCCGGGAAGCAGCCTGACTGATGACCTGTATTCTGGGGACGCTGCCAACCTGGCCACCTGATACTGAGACTGTGCAGTGATGAACGCTCACGAGGGGAGATGGAAGGTTCCAGTTTCTTCCAATCTCAGTACAACTCAGAATTCCCTGGCAGAGAGAATGCGTCCTTTGGAGGTGACAGCCCTGGGCCAAACTCCTCCCTCCTGTCCCCTGTCACAAGGGCTCTTTGATCTAAAGAGGTATCATGACCATCAAGTGACTGGGGAGAAAGTGATAAGCAGGGTGTTTAAGGCCACCACCAGGTGACCCCGGGCACTTCCTGGCCCGCAAAGCCTTGCAATTACAGGCTACGGCCAGCAGGGCGGCCCCATTGCCACACTGTTCCCTTGATAATGGGCGAAGGTCAGTGTCTGGCTACAGTTCTGCCCAGGACTGGAGGGAAGGAAAGTGCTGGCAGTGAGGGACATTGAAATCAATGGTTCTGCAGCTCGGCATTTAAGACCACCGGTTGCTCTTCCAGAGGACCCAGTTTCAATTCCTCACACCCACACGGAGGCTCACAGGTATAACGACGGTTTCAGGGAATCCAATGCCTTCTGACTTTTGTGGGCACTGGATACCTATGTGGTACCCAGACAGCCATGCAGGTGAAACACTCACACACACTAAGAAAAAGAAAAAACCGGAAGGGCCTGGGAGTGAGAAGCAGCAGCCTTTAGCTTTGTGGGACTTGAGAGTTCACTTGTGAGCTGCCTAGCAGTTTGCTGGGGCAGGGCAGATGAGTGTGCAGGGGGCGGGCGTGCGGGGCAAGCATGCCGGTTCTCATGGACATGGTTCTAGTCTCAGAGAACTCCTCAGCTGCTCTGGGAGCCAAGGGTGCTCACCTGGGCCATAGATCTGAGCAATGTGGAATCCTCACGGGGACTCCTGGCTAGTCTCTGCAGACCACACATTCCCCTGCAACCACTGTGAAAGAAGAGGCGGGACTATGGTTTCTCTAAGACCCGCCCAGCCTGGACAGTCCTGGGGCCTCCAAGAACCAACTCACCTCTTCTCCTGTCAGGTAGTAGGCAGAGAGCAGTCCTCCGACGTAGCGGATGTTCACTTCAAACAAAGATGCTTCTCCACTCTGCAAGAAGGCACGGAGGAGACGGCAAAGATCCGGGTGAGCTCCCAGAGCTCTCCAGGCCCTGGACACAGGCCACACTGCTCCCTTTAACACACACCTGTGTCCTGCTCTGAGGACCCCAGCTGGCCAGGCCACGGCTCGGTTTTCATAGCAGAGGCCGAGAGGGGCCAGCACCTGCCTGGCAGTGGCTACTGTGCATTTAAGTGTTCCAAATAAACACCACCTTTGGCTCCCTTCCCCAGCCTCACCAGAGGCCATTGGAGCAGTTACACCTGGCCGTGCTCCAAGGCGCTCCAGGACCTGTGCCGAGCTGCGGGAGAAGCTTAGCCCGAAGAGAGGCAGAGCCGGAGTGAAACGAGGGAGGTCCTTCCCTGGGGCGGCAGAGCGGAGCAGGGCTGAGCAGGAGGCTGTGGGCAGACGTCTGTGTGAGAGCCGCCAGTCTCTGGGCTCCTTCACTCGGCCCTGTTCCCTGGGCGTGCCAAACAGGTGTGGAGGCTTCATGCCAAGGACAGGGCCTTGCTAAATTCCCCACGTGAGCCATGTATACGGCTTTGTGACTTGAATCAGGCCTCTCTTTCCCCCCGGGGTTTCCTACTACACAGAACAGGTCTGTCACCACCTTTCAGGCAGGCCTTGTTACAGAAGCTGTGGCAGGGTCTCACAAAGGCCCTGTTGCCACCTCCTTTGCCCCAGGTGCTCACTTCACCAGTTTTCTGCATGGTATTTTAAATTTTTATTTGTAATTCTGGGGATTCGATTGAAGGCTTAGGCGATTGCTTTATATCCCCAGCTTTCTTTTTTCTATATTTTAAGGCAGGGTCTCACTAAGTGGTCCAGGCTAGCCTTGAACTTGTGCTCAGCTGCCTCAGCCTCTAGAGTAGCTGGGATTCCAGGCCTGCACTACCAAGCCTGACTCAAGCTTTTGTGACTGACAGAAGCCATCAGTATCTGTTAATCTGGAGGATTTTTCCACCAGCAAAGGTGGGCAAAACTCAGTTCAGTTCCTTTCCGCTTCATAGCACTCTATGACGCCACCCCATTCTCCAGATGAAAAAGATAAGGCTTAAAGAGGTGACCCCCACCTTTCTTTTTTTCTGGAAACACTCTAACTTGCCCCAGCCTGTCTGAGTGTCCATAGCTCCCTGGTCCCCTGGGCAGGCCCGTCCTCTGCCTGGAGGACCTGGAGGCCACCCAGGGGGACCAGGTGAGTCCTGAAAGATGCCCATCTGCCTCTCTCCCATCACAGAAAAGGAGCAAGGGCGCTATACTCCCCTGGCCTCACAGACATCAGAAGCTGCAAAGGCCTCAGAGTGAGTCTAATAATTATAAAAATGGAGGGGAGGTGACTTTGCATTTGTGTTGACTTTGTGGGACCATAAAATCCTTGCTACAGCCCTCTGTCAGGGTCATCCTTCCTGTCTCGGTGAGGAGACTGAGGTTCAAGGGGGCGGGAAGCCTTCTTCAGTTCTCTGGTCCAGTTCTCAGGTCCCCCAGGTCTCTTGCCTCTAAAAAAGCCACTTCCCTTCCTACCTCTTGCTGAGCAACATGCCCAAGATGAGAAACGTGGGGAGGGGAGGGATGGCCCTGGCTGTCTCCCCTCACACCAGAGGACACCAGCTGGGAGACAGCCCCACCACAAGGCTGCTCTATTGCATAGCCGCAGGCACAAGTGTGCTGTCTGTAGAGCTGGAGACAACTCACCACGTTCAGGTGGAAGCTGTCTTGCACCCAGGTCTTGGCCTCTTGGAACTCCTCCTTCAGCTCCATGAGGTAGAGGGTGTCGAGGGAATCGATGATGGTTGCCCCACCGAGGCCACCTGTAGGCACAGAGAATTGCATGTGTGAGCTGGGGCCATTTTCATCCTTCTCATTTTCAGCTAGAAAAGTCACCCTTCCTCCAGGGTCCCCAGATACTTGGAGAACTCCAAGGCTCCAGCCATAGGGACTCCAGTACCACCGGTGAGGGCCAGGATGGATCCATCACCCTCTCTGTAGTGGGAGGAAAGATGGAGGCCAGGATGGGCCTTCCAGGACCACGGTCACTCCTTGGTCACCAAGTGACTCAGTTCCAGGTAACACCTGCACTGACCCCTGTGGCACACACAGCTCCCAAGGCGCAGCCATTCCTGGGGCTCATTCATCCGATTTCTGCTTTATCCTGTGGAAAAATGCAGGTGCTCATGTATGGTTATGCAGAGAGAGACACTGCAGGACTGTGAACCCAGGGAGGATGTAGGCAAACTCCAAACCTGTGCTACAGACTGGAATATAGCACAGGGACATCCCCACACACAGGTGAGGTGGACTTGCGTTGATGAGCTTGGAAGAAAACCCGGGGTTCTCTTCAGTTAAAAAACAAACACAAACAAAAAAAACCTCAGAGGTCCTAAGGCCAGACATTGTCTATCAAATAAAGAGGCAGGTATGGGTTATCTCCTTTCAAGTGGTTGGTCAGTGGGGTCCCATAGACTCCCCTAAATATTTCAGGCTTTCCTATTCTTACTGCTTACCATCTGGAACTTTATGGTAAGATCCTATTGCTGAAGGCACCACACGCCTGAATCATAGCACATGGTGAAATCACGCTGCTACTGACGTGGCCTCTTCATCCCTACTGTCTAGCTTTCGCGGTGCTGGGAGGGGCTGTGCACACTATCGGAGGAGAAAAGTAATTGTGGATCTTACCTAGTTCTGAACACTGACAGCTGCAGTAGCAACTGGCCTGGCAAGAGACGCCCAGTGGTGCCATGGCGGCTCTAACGTTACGGGAGTAACCAACCACTTTCTGATTGGACTTGAATCCTGTACCACAAAGACTAAACTCATGCCTAGCACTATTCACTGGGCCAAAAGCCTGTGACTGGCCAGGCCATACGCCCTAGGGGAGAACCTAGTACTATTACTTTGCTAAATGGACGTAATATCCAGCTGCCTCCTAAGTACTTTTCTTTGTATCCATAGAGTAACACATCTCTCAAACCTCATCAGAGAAGATTATTTGTTTACTTGTTTACTTATTGCAGGAGATGGTGATTTAGACAGAGTCACCACTGGCTAACATGCAGAGACTAAGAGACCATGGAGTATTGAGCTCTAAATGGGACATCTATACTCCTCACCCAGAGCTCAGGGATTGTCTGGGAAAAGGGGGTGGAAAGATTGCAAGAGCCAGAGAGAGCAGATGTTTGAAGCAAAACAGTATTGGCCAGACATGACAGGCCCTTCCACACACGGACTTGCAGTGGCTGGGATAGCATGCATAAGAACTGCACAAGACCAAGCCAGAAAGAACCCCAGAGTGAAGTCCCAGCCCAGCTGAGGAGCTACTGGCAACCAATGGCTGCTGGCGGAAGAGAGTCCGTTCTCTTCAGGGTCCCTAAGAGGCTACCCGTTGTTTAAATGAGACAGGTCCCCACCACAGGCTCATCTGTTTGAGCACCTGGTCCCCTGTGGGCAGTCCTGTCAATAGAGGGAGCTTATGGAACCCTGAGAAGGTTCAGACAGACTGGAGGAAATACATCATTAGGGGCGGGCTTTGAGGGCTGGGAAACAGAACCTCAAGAAAATGCTTCTCAGGCTGGAGAGATGGCTCAGCGGTTAAGAGTACTGACTGCTCTTCTAGTGGTCCTGAGTTCAATTCCCAGCAACCACATGGTGGCTTATAACTATCCTTAATGAGATCTGGTGCCCTCTTCTGGCCTGTAGGGATACATATAGGCAGAACACTGTATACATAATAAATAAATCTAAGAACAAAATAAAATAATTGTAAAAAAAAACCATTAAAAAAAAAAAAAGAAAAGAAAACGCTTCCCGATGCCACTTTTGGCTGTGTGTTTTATCCTAGCAACAAAAGAGCAATTCACACCTGACACGTGAGCCAGGAGATGCCTGCACCCCAGTAAGGACAGACAGTGCCAAGTGGACTGAGAGGGCTTCTTAAGAGTACACGAAGTTGGGGAGGAAGAGTGGTGGAGAAGATGGGGGAGGAACTGGAGGGGACGGGAAAGGGATGGGTTTGATCAAACATTATAGGCAGGTAGGAAATTCTCAAACAATGATAAAAGAAGATTAAAAAGTGAAAACAGCATGGGTGGTAGAGACAGCTTGGTGGGCGAAGAGGTGGCTATGCCCGTACTTCCAGCGCTGGGAAAGCGGACGCAGGCGGATCCCTGGAGCCCTATGGCCGGCCAGCCTAGCCTTCTCAGCGAGCCCCAGGCTTGTGAGACCCTGCGTCATACAATCTAAGACAGCCCTTGAGGAGCGGCAGTTGAGGCTGTGCTCTGGGTTCTACATTCACGTGTACATGTGTGCACATATCCTCTCTCTCGCACAAAGCCAACGACAACTAGACAAAACTCCAAAAGCAGCATGGCGGATCCACTTCACTGTAAAGGGAAAAGTGAACCGTCTCCACACTGGAGACTGCGGGGGCTCGGAGCTTATCTCTGGGTGCTGGGGCAGAAATGTTGTTTATTTCTTCTGGGTTATTTTATTGCTAGAGATTGATTTCCATTAAAAATAAAAAATGGGGAACAGTTTAAACAAAGAAACCAGACAAATGTGCAACCCAAAAGTCCTCCAGTTCTTGCCTGTTCCAGTTCAATGGGTCCACAAAGAACGATCACCACTTGTCCCACCACGCTGGCGCTGGTCCTGGGCATGAAAACTGAGATAACTTGTCCCCGCCTTCATCACTGTTCAGCAAGGCAGGAGAGGACTAGGGAAAGACTCAGATGGTTCGGTACTGTCAGAGCCCGGAATGGGAAGGACTGGGGGGAGAGAGAGGGAAGGGTGAGCATGGTGACACCTGGAGAGCTTCCTGGAGGGGGGGGGGAGGAAGAAGAGAAGGAGGAGGAGGAGGAAGAGGCTGACTTTCGTCAATATCTTACAGCTAGAGTTACAGCCAGCAGCAATGTCCTTTAGAGCCCAGAGTACTTTCATCCCTAAATTCCTCCAGGGAGACTGGTACCCAGATTCTCCTCAGATGTCTCAATTTGCAGACACTCAGGTACCATCTAGAAATGGTATTGATTTGGGTATGACCTAGGCAATTCTCCTGTGTACTCTATTTCATCCCAGATGAGTCACAAAACTTAGTCTCAGGTAAGTCCCTGTCACACCGTATTATGAGAGGCTAGAGATAAAAATAAGATCATGTTTGGTATACACTTTCCCTCCAAATATTTTCCATTTGTGGCTGACTGAACCCACTCATGTGAAACCAAGGGAGGCAGAGAGCTCATAGCACAACCTTCAGGAGAATGGCTGTCTCCACTCTGCCGCTGCAGAAGCTGGGGGGTCAGGAGTCACAGGCTCTGCCCTCCTGAGCAGAACCCACTGAGTCTGGCCTGGCTTTGGGGCCTGCACGTTCAGTGTTCTGCGACCTGTGTGTCCCTAATTGCTCACTCGTGTCTATAATGCACACGGAGGATTCTGGATTGAATCACGGGCAGGCATGGTGTGATAAAAGGCACAGGCCGAGAAAGAACCAGAGAGGAATGGTGAGGGAGAGCTGGGACAAAGACAGAGCCAGAAGTGAAGGACATAGCTATCACCAGAAGGGAGGGCTGGCCACAGAGGACGGGATGTCACATGTCTGGGTGCTTAAACTGGACTGAAGCGAACTTGTGGAGTGTCGGCCCCTCCCACAACCACAAAGTCAGGCCAGCATGCCTTTCCTAGCTGCCTCCCCTCTGGGTATCCCCTCTGGGTGTCCTCTCTAGGTGTCCCCTCTAGCTGCCTCCTCTCTGGGTCCAGCAAGGCTATGGTGAAGACTTTCTCCCCTGGAGATGCTCAGGCTCCTCAGGCTGCTGGTCTGGAGCCCAGCCCCCACTCTGCAGGGCCTGGTGACCTGGGGCCCTGTCTAGTGTATTCCATGCAGGTTGCAAAGCTGGTGCTTTAAGGCCTGGAGTGACTCTGAGGTCCTGGTGGATCACCCTTTCATCTCACAGATACTAAGTCAGCTCAGGGGAGATGAGCTTCCGCCACCAGTGTGGCCTCTCAACTCTGGACAAAGGGACCTAAGCGCTCACCCATCTGGCAGCCAGCTACAAGCCGGAGCCAGGTGGAAGCTGAGTCCCTCCCTCTTGGGCACAGCAGTCTCTCGTTTCAGAACCCTGCCCTGGGTCACCTGTTTTCACCTCAATAGCCCTCTGTCTCTTGGGGCCCTGCAGGGAGAGCAATCAGTCAGGTCTCCTTATGACCAGCTGTCCCCATGTCACCTCAAGACACCTGATGTGGACACCTGAGTTTGTTGGTTTGAAGCTCTGGCTTCTTGGTTTGGTTGATCTCTCCCCCGCCCCCACCCCGCACCTGGCTGGGCTGGGGTCCAGCAAGGCCCTCCAGGCTCAGGGTTACTCCATAGCCCAGGCCGCATGAAGACAAGGCCCTATTCCCAGTCCAACCCTATATGGCGCCTGGACAGCTTTCAAAGGGAATAGAGGACACCCAGTAAAGAGGCCACAACCTATGTATTCCTAAAGATCCAGCAGGGCTCAAAACAGCAGCCAGGACTTTTCCTGGGGCTGCAGCCATGGTGGGCTCTGCCTGGCTTCCTCTCCCAGCTCTCTGAGCTCTACCTTCACACAGGATAACCTCCCAGAGCAGGAGACAGCAAAAAACGCCTCAGAAAGAACAAAGGCTCCGGGAAACAGAAGAACTGACTCAAACCAGCATGAGCCAGCAGCACACCTGTGAGCATCAAACTTACCTGTGAATGAAGGGAAGACCCCTGAGTGGGTCCCTGGGGAGCCATCTCGGGTCCCTGGGCATGAGCCACCTGCCTTAAATTTGTCCGCCCTTGCTCAGGGAGCAC